TCTCCTCTCTAGGTCTCCTAGGCACATATAAGATTTATTTACAAGAGGCCTAGCTATGGTAAACGGGCAGTGCACACTGGTCACAAAAAGGAGCACAGGAAAATGAACAGTTAAGCCTAGTATAAATGTTGCTATCTTTACTGAAATGCACCATTACACCTATCATAAACAACCTCTCATTTCCCAGTGGAATTTGAGTAATCTGAGGATGCCTTCTACTTCTCTTTGCGTCTCTTGACTTCTCAGTATCCTGCGTAAGAGAAAATATTTATTAACCAACTATAAGCTACTAGTTTATTTTTCAGGCAGTTCTGAACTGCTTACAAAAAAAATTATACCATTACATGTACTATACTAGTGACTGTTTTTTTCTTTTAAGAAAGATCTGCTCAGCATCCCATTTCTGATATGCACATGGTTGGGAAAGAAGCTATTTTATTTATGACCCTGATTATAGATGATTTGTCCAAGACAGCTGCCTAACTGAGCCAGGTGAGCCACAGTTTGCCACACACTTCCAGTCAGTTAGACTGGTTCAAGGGTGAATACCTGAACTAAGAGAGAATCAGTCTCTTCCAGTTGAATAAAATGACAAGAAAGAAGCCCAGTAACCGTTGCAGGCTATTATTTCCTAACACACACACACACACACACACATACACACACACACAAGTCTAAAGAAAGAAAGAAATATGACAGGTACACAGAAAGGGGAAAAACAAGACATGCAGCAAGACAATTCTGGTTTCTGTTGTGTTTAAGGTCCAACTGTATTTTTCAACTCAGGACCGCTAAGTTTAGAGATATAAATTGAATTAAGTTTCATATATGTTAGGAATATAGAATAAAAAGTTAAAAGAAAGAGGTAGAAAATAATTAAGAACTTGAAACATATTTATATACATTAATCCACTTAAAAGAACACAATATCCTAAAAAGCCATTTAATTCCATTTCTTTTTACATAAAACACACATATATCCCTATGTTTCAGTAGTCCTAGTAGAGTGAATATTTTTTAAAGTATCTAAAATAAAAACCTACTCAAGCATGACTCAAATCAAAGTGCTGGAAGGATACTGCTATGTAACAGAATCGCTGCTTTGTAACTCTGGAAGCCAAGAAGTAGAAGAACAACCACCACCAACAAATCCTCATTTTATCCCCAGAATGTCCACCAGGCAACTGTATCTCTTGGTGGTAAGTAATGGACCAGGGAAAGAAATTTCTTTTAATATAACACACAACTTGTTTAGCGTACTTGGAGGAAAACAGATCCTTAGAATCATTTTCCAACTTCATGAGATCACAAAACAAGCAGCTGGGCAACCTTCAGCCAATGGGTCCTCTAAGCTATGTGTTACACAAAAGGTACTTAAAAGACTCGTTAAGTATGCCGTGGGCCACATCCTTTAAGGCCACAACCTTTAAGGCTACAACCTTTAAGGCTACATTTGAGCTAGAGTCTACGGGTAAAAAAAACAAAAACAAAAAAAACACCCACTCCTTTAAAGGAAGACTCTTCTATCTCTCATCTAAAACTACCAGTGATTGATTACCCTTTTGTTCTTTTGACCCCAAAAAGCTTCAAACTGGTGAAACTAAACTTGTTCCATCACACAGAAGGCTATTCTCTAGGAAACAGGCAGAGGTGTATGGTACTATTGTTAATGTTAGAATGCAATTTTTAGAACAAAAGGGTATTTACAGTTTTGAGTCTATCATCTTCATAGCCAACCAGAAGTGAAGGTGCTTGCTTATAAGCTGAATTAAATGTGAAAATTGTTTTAGTTAATACTGTACCACTCCACACTAACTAGAGCTTTTAAAAATAAACCAAGATAATAGATCACTGTCATTTTCACCAACAAAACCTATTTTCTATACAGCTACCAGTATCTCTTTAAGACAAAAATGTGACCAGGTCTTTCTTGTTTAAAATTCTGTAGTGGTCCCCCAGGAAACAATAAAATATGAGCTCTGTAGCATGGAACACAAGGCCCTTTATGACCTGCTTCCTGTCTCCCTCACCTCTACAACCCCTTTTTGCTGTCTGTAGTTTCCTACATTCATGCTATATAATTCTTGCTCAGTCTCTGCTTTTAAATCTCACTGGACTGTACTCAGCTCCATGAATATGCTACGGTCCCTCCTGCATCTGGGTTACTGAAATTCTTTTTGTGGGCATGGGACATACTTTTAAACTATCAAAATAAGTCCTATTTTCACATAATCATCCTTTAACCTTCAACTTAAATGTCACTATTTTAGGACAGACATCTCACACTATCCCTGTTATCATGGTTCAGTTTGTAATTATGTGCAGTAGTTTTTGATTTGTGCCAGGAGGGCAGGGACACCATCTGCTTTGCTTATCACTGTATCTCTGATGAGTCACAGGGTACATATGATACATATTAGCATGGATGGTAAAAGATTTGTTCAATTAAGTTGCCGCAAGAGGAGTAATTTATAGTTCTCTTAATTTACCCAGTGACCCTGATTAAAACTAATAATGAATAACTGAAGATAATCCAAAGTCATTTTTTATTTTAAATGAAAATATTAGCTGTTCGCTACCAACAACAGCATCATAAAGGGGTGTAAATTTGAGTAGAATAAATATCTCTAGATCAGACTTTATATTAGAGATGGCAAAAACCTTAGAGTCATTTTTATTTTTTAATCCTCACCCAAGAAGATATGTTTATTGCTTTGAGGGGGGAGAGTAAGAGTGAGTGAGTGAGAGAGAGAGAGAGAGAGAGATCAATTTGTTGTTTCACTTAATTTATGCATTCATTGGTTGATTCTCATATGTGTCCAGACTGAGGACTGAACCTTCAACCTTGGTGTATCGGGACAATCCTCTAACCAGCTGAGCCACCCTGCCAGGGCATATCACACATGTTTTTAATGGCATCTGGAATGGTGACTCCTTTCCAAGGGGTTTCCAATTTACTTTGCCCAGACCCATCAGAGGACTCACTATCAATGGCAGCTTGAGACTCTCAAAACGTATTTCTTAAATCCTAAGCCTTAAAAATCAGAATTACTCCTTGATCCATGGGCTGCAGAATGGAAGTTGTGCTGGCAGGTATAAAAACAATATTAACTTCGTTGTACATCTTCATCAGAGCTCTGGGATGACCAGATGCACTATCAATGAGCAGTGGTATTTTAAAAGGAATCTTTTTTCCTTGGCAGTAGGTATCAACAAGTGGGCTTAAATATTCAGTGAACTATGCTGTCAACAGGTATGCTGTCCATACAGGCTTTGTTGTTCCATTTAGAGAGCACAGGCAAAGTAGATTCAATATAAATCTTAAGAGCCCTAGATCTACATAATGGTAAACAAGCATTGGCTTCAACTTCAAGTCACCAGCTGCACTAGCCTTTAACAAGAGAGTCAGCCTATCTTTTGAGGCCAGCACTGCCTTCTCTGTAGCTATGGAAGTCCTATAGATGGCATCTTCTTCCAACATAAAAGCCTATTTCATTTACATTGAAGACCACTGTTTAGTCTAGACACCTCCACTGATTATTTCAGCTAGGTCTTTTGAAGAATTTGCAGCAGCTTTTACCTCAGTACTTCCTGCTTCACCTTACACTTTAATATTATTGAGACTCTTTCTTTCCTTAAACCTCATGAAACAACCTCCGCTAGCTTCAAACTTTTCTTCTGCAAATTCCTCACCCCTCTCTGCCTTCATAGAGGTAAAGAGTCAGCGCCTGTCTCTGGATTAGGCTTTGGCTTATGGGAATGCTTTGGCTAATAAGATCTTCTATCCAGACTACTAAATCTTTCTCCATATCAGCAATGAAGCTGTTTCACTTTCTTATTCATATATTTACTGGAGTAACACTTTAAATTTCCTTCAGGAACTTTTCCTTTGCATTCACCACTTGGTTAACTGTCGGGTGCAAGAGGCCTAGCTTTTGGCCTGTCTCAGCTTTTGACACACCTTCCCACTAAGCTTAATCATTTTTAGCTTTGATTTAAAGTGACAGACATGCAACTCTTCCTTTCATTTGAACATATAGAGGCCATTGTGAAATTATTACTTGTCCTGATTTCAATAATGTGTCTCAGGAAATAGGAAGGCCCAAGGAGAGGGAGAGAGATAGTGGAATGACTAATATGAATACACACAACATTTACCTATTAAGTTGTCATTTTACATAGGTGCGGTTTGTAGTACCCCAAAACCATTAGGTTAGTAACATCAAAGATCACCAACATCATCACCATAACAAATATAATAATGAAAAAGTTTGAAATATTGAGATAATTATCAAAATGTGACATGTAGACATAAAATGAACAAATGCTGTTGGAAAAATAGTGCTGATAGAGTTGCTCAATGCAGGGTTGCCACAAACCTTCAATTTCTTAAAAAAGCAGTATCTGGAAAACAAAATAAAAAGAGGTATGCCTGGCCCTGGCTGGGTGGCTCAGTTGGTTGGAACACCATTCATGCACCAAAAGGTTGTGAGTTTGATTCTTGGTCAGGTGTGAGTGAGGCAACCAATAGATGTTTCTCTCTCCTTTCCTCTCTCTGAAATCAATGAACATATCCTCAGGTGAGGATTAAAATAGGCATGTCTGTATACACATAACTGAAACAAAAGTTTCATGAAACAACTCTTTCACTGTGTGCAATCACACTGAGGTTGAGAAACCCTGGACTGGAATTCATATTTGCCGAATGAATCCATGTTAACACGTTGATGCCTCTGATGCTTCTGTGGGCATTGCAGAACACATGATAAAAAGATAGTACTATTCTCAAAAATCAGAAAACCTCAATTCCAAAACACAGTTTGCTCCAGGGATTTTAGACAGGGGACTATAGACTCTATTATCACCATTATTACAATAGTAGGTCTTTCTGAAATACCACAAATTTAATTAATGTTGGGAAGCCATGACCATAGCTCAAGTCTCTGAAAATGAAGGAGTGGACATAACAAGTCAACTGAGCAACAACTTCAGCTATTTACCTTTCTCTGTGCCTGAGAATATAGAGATGATTTTATTCCTGGGCTTTTTTTCCTCTGGAACAGAGGGCAAAGGTTTCAAACTGTGATTAGCTGACAAAGGGTCTTTGCCTCCAGTGCTAAAAATGGTACTGCTCATTCTCACGGGAGGAGCCGGAGGCTTGTCTTCCAGTTCTCCGTTATCAGACATGATTCAGAATTACAGTTACGGCCTGAAACAGATAGGCAAAAACTTAGTTAATAACAAGGTAAAAAAATAGTAGGGACAAGCACAAAACAGTAATAATCCCCTCCCCAACTTGGAATTGGAAAATGTTATCTATCCATTTAGAGTGAAATGTGCAAGATCTGTAAACTCAAAGAGTAAGAAATGAAATTGGCCATCCATGAAGCGTAGGCAACCTCTCCTAACAAAGTTAGTGAATAGTTAGCTGTGGGAATGTCTAAAAAGCCATGTCCAGATTAGAGGACATGATGACACTAATATATCAAAAGATCCATCTAATCAATTGATTCTAAGAATAAATGGTTTCTAATGAAAACAGACAACGTAAGTCTTAAAAAAAAAGAGAGAGAGATTTCCAAAGAGGAAGGCCATTTCCTAACCAACCAACCAAAGTGTAACAGATGTGGAACGAGGTTCAGAACAGGGTGCATGTAGGCTGAGAAACTCCCAGGAACAGAGGGGAAGAAAAAGGAAAAAAACAAAAACAAAAACCCAAAACCTCCACAGACTTGGCTGGGGATAAGGAAGCTGAGGGAACTGTTGAGAGGTACTCTGCATAACAGTAACAGCTGGCCAGTGTTATAGTTATGTTGAATAGCTGTGCTGCCAGGGAGGTGGGAGTGACTTTGACTCAGGATGTAGCCAGAGGGGCTATAGGCGGTTGGCAGCTGAAGGCAGAAAATACGGGAATGCAGATGTAGCCTATCACGGGAGAAGTCGGAAATGGGGTTATGGAGGGGGTGCAGGGTGAGGATTTAAACTCAAGTGCAGCAGCCATTCTTGCGTGTGACCATGAGGTTTGAAAGAGAGCAGTGAGAAGGGAGAAGTAAGCAAGCAGCTATGTAGTTTACAGTGAGGAAGGAGGCCACATGGCCTGGACTAATAAGGAAGGAGATGCTGCTGCTATGATGCTGCTATGATTGTGCCTGCTCAAGTTGACTCTAAAGCCACCAAGGACTTCCTTGCAAGATACTTCCTGTCCTGCTGCACCTGGATTTTTAGCTGTACTATTAAGACCTGTGTCTTTCCCAAGTTTCACCATGATCCAGAGTAACACAGCACCTGATTTTCTGGTCTATTAAATGGAGGCTGATGAACACGTACCCCAGATCCTGCAGGAGAGAGCTGCTGTGTGCTGATAGTGACTTTGGTACCCTCTAGAGGGACTGGAGAACTATTTGTGCAGCTGGCTTAAGAAAAGGAAATAGGGAACTTCTACCTTTTGGGCTTCTGGCTTTTAACCTGGTGGGGAGCATGGGAAGTGCAAGGTCTTCTGGGAAAGGAGGGCTCCAAGCTGAGGTAGTCTAAGTTCCCTCAAGGTTGGAAAGTTGCAAATAAAGACCTGCTGCTTCCAGCATTAATTGTTGGGTCATTCACCAAGTCACCACATGAACAGCCCCAGTCTGCTCAGTAACAAAAGGATACATCTTTGCTATGTCTCCATTTCTACAGGAGACCGGAGATAAGACATTTGCTATTAAATATATCAACTAATTCCCCCAACCTGGGAATCTGATTCCTTGACCACTAACTAGCCTTGTGATTACAACCTACCATTCATATAAACTTTCCTAAAGGATACAAATGTGCCACTGATGCAATATTTGGTTTCTGAGAAAATCCGACATTCCAACAACAAACCTTAGTCAGTCCCTTGCAAGTTTGCAGATAGGGCCATAGAATGCGATTTACTTGGAAGACTGACAACAGTAAATCCAGAGCTTGGCTAAAAAGCAGGGTATGGCTACATTCCCAAGGGTCTATCATCCTGTGATGCCCTTTCCAGGCAGTTATGTAACCCCTCTTAGCCACATACAAGGCTAATTCAGTGGAAACTTTAACCTTGTTACACATACAGAAATATTTTATATCTTTAAAAAAGTACATTATACACATTTAAAATCAGTTAAGGGGAAGGGATGCCTAATTTACAGATGAACTCCAATACAAAACAACATATTTTAGGAAACATTACACTTCTCCCCTAAACAAGGTTTTGATCGGTAATTAGATCCTCATTTATTATAAAGTTATCTAATGAATGTAAGTGAACAAAACTTTGTTAATATATATAATGACCAAGTACGCCAACTCTATTTACATAAAGTTAAAAACAAGATTATTTTTTAAAATATAGTGTGAATGCTAGTACCTGAAGAAAAGTAGGTATAATTTGGGAAGAACTGATGCATAAAGAGATTATTGTACCTACTTCTACTCCAAATCTTACAACCTTTGTTTTCTTTCATAGGGTATGCCACTAGAACTGCTGTGTATTTTATCTGCAATGATGATTTATTTTTCAGCCTACAAAAAGAAAATGAGAAAAGGTGAAGGGGGAAAACATACCTTTCTGGGAATAACTACTACAGAAGGGCTGGGAAAAAGGAATAAAAAAAGATTTATGTTTGTGCGTGAGAAAGACTGCCGGAAGTGAAAAGAAACTACAAGTGGTCAAAGGAAGAGAGAGATGGAGGTGAGATCTAAGAAGGTGGACATCTAGTCAAATGATTCTTCCAAACCAGCTAGTCCCATCGTGTGGGGTCTATTTTGTTTTGCGGGTGGGATGAGGGCAGGGTGTGACTGGCTGTCCTTAAGGGTGTGTGGGCTGTGAGGTGTGTATTACCAGACAGGACTTATCTATTGCTACCAATCGAAGAAAGAAAAGGCATAGTAACAATATTTTGAGGATTATTTGATACAGTGATAAATCAAGACAGATGTTTTTATCTCTTATGTAGCCATAGCATTAAGGCAAAATAGATAAACCTAAAGCAGCTCACTTTCATCTTTATCACCAGTGATGACAACAGACATGACAAGATAAGATTCTGGTTACACTTTGACCAATTATCACCTATATTAATGGATATCAAATTTAAACTCAGAATAATAAAACAAAATTTCAAAATACATTTGCATTCATATATAGAAGGAAATGCACCTAAATATTAACAGTCATCAGTAATTTTTACAATTGTGGTTAAAAAAAAATCAATATAAAGCTGTCAAGATACAGTAATTATTTGGTGTCAACTGACTATAAATTCTACCCTCAAGGCTGGCTCGTAGATGGAACATGACTAGAAACTGCCAATGTACCTTCAGCTGTATGTCGTCTAGTGTTGTAGTTAAAAGAATGAGTTGTGAAATCATATTGTTTTGATTTGAATCCTGGTTCTATCATTAATTTAAGTGTGGCCTTGGACGATTTACTTAACAGTGAATGGCTCAAGGCTCCTTGGAGAAATAGATGTTCTGGGCCAAGAATACGAAAAATAAAAGATGAGTCCAGAGAAGCAACTTTCAACCTTTTTCATCTCATGGCACACATAAACTACTAAAATTCTGCAGCACATCAAAAATTACATTTTTTGCTGATTTGACAAAAAAATATGGTTTTGAGTCATTCACACTGGATGGCTATTGTGTTGGCTGCTGTCATGTTTTTACTTGACAATCAAAGAAAAAAGACATTAGTGCCCCTGACTAAATTGTCAGATATTGCATGTTTTACACATTTTAAAAACTTTTGCAGCACACCAACTGAAAATTGCTGGCCTAGAGCATCTTATAGTGACAGAAGGTAAGGAAGTACTTAAAAAGGATAAGGGCATGTCAAAACACACAGAAAAGAATTCCAAAAAGGCAACTTCCCGCCAAGATGGAGGCATAAGTAGACACACTGTGCCTCCTCGCACAACCAAGATAGGGACAACAACAATTTAGAAACAGAGTAACAACCAGAACTGACAGAAAATTGAGCTGCATGGAAGTTGGACAACCAAGAAGCTAAAATAAACACATTCATCCAGACCGGTAGGAGGGGCAGAGTCGGGCAGCCAGGCGCCGTCTCTGCGCAGCGAGCACTGGGACCGGGCATGTAAGGCATCTGGGGGTGCACAAGACCACAGCGGGCAGGCCCTGGGTGTGCAAGGGGCAGCTGGCAGACCCTGGCCGAGGGGTGGCAATTGGCAGACCCAGCGAGGCAGCCATTCTGAAGCAAGGCACTGCATGCAACCCAGGGTCCCAGCGCTGGGAAATAGAGCCTTGGGGCACTGATTGAAAACACCTGTGGGGGTTGAGGTGCAGGGAGGGACTCCAAGCCTCATAGGAGAGGCTGTTGAAAAGTCCCACAGGGCGCACAAGCCCACCCACACGGGAACTGGCACCAGAGGAGCCCAGTTTGCTCCGGGAAGCGGCGGAAGGGAATGAAGTTCAACAGAGAGCAGAGCAAGCACCACTGTTCCCTCTCAGACTCCACCCCCACATACAGCGTCACAACCCAGCTACTGGGGTGCCCTGCCCTGGTGAACACCTAAGGCTCCGCCCCTCATATGTAACAGGCGTGACCAGACCAAAGGGGGGGGAAGATGGCTCAAACAGAACAAATGAAAGCCCCAGAACCAGGACCTTTAAGCGACCGAGAGACAGCCAACCTATCAGATGCACAGTTCAAAGCACTGGTGACCAGGATGCTCACAGAATTGGTTGATTTGGGTCACAAATTAGATGAAAAAATGAAGGCTACAATAAGTGAAATGAAGAAAAATGCATAGAGAAACAATAGTGATGGAATGACAGCTGGGTCTCACATCAATAGAGTGGACCAGAAGGAAGAAAAAAACAATCATAAAAAAATGAAGAAATAAGAATTCAAAAAAATGAGGAAGTCTTAGGGAACCTCCAGGCCATCTTTAAACGTTCCAACATCAAAATTATAGGGGTATCAGAAGGGGAAGAAGAAGAGCAACAAGTGGAAAACTTATCTGACCAAATAATAATGGAGAACTTCCCCATTCTGGCAAAAAAAAAATAGACATCCAGGAAGCTCAGAGAGTCCCAAAGAAGTTGGACCCAAGAAGGAACACACCAAGGCACATCATAATTACATTAGCCAAGATTAAAATGAAGGAGAGAATTCTAGAAGCAGCAAGAGAAAAGGAGACAGTTACCTACAAAGGAGTTCCCATCAGACTGTCAGCT